TCTCCAACAAATTGAAGGATATGCCAATAATGTCTCTTCATTTTCTAAACTTCTTTGCAGGCCCCACCATCCTTAGATTAATTATAAATAGTGGCCACTGATTGATACAAAAGTAGACAAGGGATATTACTTGAGCCGAGAAAATTTCTACCATTAATATCATAATCAACAGTTTTAATTTAAATGCAAATAATTAATCATCTGTCCTGTTTAAAAGTTGTGCTCATGATGATTTCTAAGCGTGTGTATATATATAGTACGACCTTCTCCTCCAACCACTTCATCAATCTAAGAAGCCCTGAACCTATCCAACATGGCAAATCTTTGTTTTCATTTCCCTTTCTCTTGTTCTCCCTACTTTGTTTTCACATTTCACTTTATGCCTCACCAATTTTACAACGAATGATGAATTGGCACTTCTTGCTTCAAGTTTTCGTTAAGGACCCTGACAATCACTTGGCTAATTGGTCAAACTCTTCTTCCATTTGCAATTGGGTTGGGGTTATGTGTGATGCTCATCATGAGAGAGTAATAGCCTTGAATCTTGGTGAGATGGGTCTCAAGGGAACCTTGCCCTCAAAAAATGGGAATTTGTCTTTCCTAGTTAAACTTGACCTTCATAGTAACAACCTTCATGGTGAGCTGCCAAAAGAGTTGATTCAATTACACAAGCTGCAAATTCTCAACTTGAACTACAATGAATTCAATGGAGAAATTCCAATTTGGATTGGAAGCTTACTTATGCTTCAACACTTCCATCTCCGTAATAATAGTTTTGGAGGTTTTATTCCTCCAAATGTTTCTAATTTGTCAAAGTTAGAGACATTAGATTGGAGATTTAATTCTATCGAAAGATCCATTCCATTTGAGATTGGAAAACTTCAATGTTTGAAGATTTTATGGATTGGAGGAAACAAGCTTTCAGGAAGAATACCTCCAACTATTTCTAACTTATCCTCACTTGAGATGTTGTCTTTGTCTTACAACTCCTTAACAGGTATGTTTCACATAACTAATGTGTTATTAGCATTCTTCCATTTTACAATGATATAAATTTATCTTATTTTTGTAAATATTCCTTTTGCTTAATCTTAGTGTAGATTTTTGTGTGATTTAAGATAATTTGCCTTATTATCAAGCTCAGTTAATCTTCTTTGGCGTCAATTTTCCACTTATGTTGTTGGTCAAAATAAATTCATCTACAAACTTCTATTAATTATCATTTGGATTAAGGGTTATTTTTACCTTTCAATTGTATGCAAAAAATTATTAGGGACCCTAAATTCAACTATAGGTCATTTATATTCTTCAAACTCAAAGATTAATTGTTCTGTCACTTGCCGTTTTCTCCATCCATTTTTTCCATTAGTGGGCCCATTTTAAATTTTTTAATTTTTTATAATATAAAAAATTCTTCTCTCTCTCCTCCACTTTTTCTCTCCCCCTCCGACCAAGATCTCCGTCTCCCATCTCCGTCCACCTTAGCTCAGAAATCTGCAGCTGCTTTACTCTCACGCCGAACATGCTGCACCTGCACTTCCCACTCTCTTTGCACTTAAGCTCTGAATATACATTTTGCGACTGCGGACTCCAAGCCCTGCTATCCTCTTGTCCTCTTTTCTTCCTTGTCTTCAATGGGCTTCTTCAAAAAACATACATGAGATTATTTTTAATAGTGTACGTTTAAATCAATTGTAAAATTAATTTGAAAATTAAATACAGATAATTTTAATTAAATGTTGACCCGTCAATGTTCTACAAAGTGTAAGTTATACTTTTTAAAAGTTTATGAATTGTGGAGATTTATATAAATTTTATAATAGTAATTTAGAATGGTCTCTATAATTTTCAGATTTAAATCTCAAAGTTTTTAACTCTATATAAAAAATTGCAATTCAAATAATCAGAATTAGAATTTTATGTTTGAATGAACCGCATGGGGAATGGGGATGTGGTGGTAAAGTTTTGTATATATATATATATATATATATTTTAAGTTTTTATGTATTTTACTTGAACTTTTATATAATATGAAAATATTGCTCCACAAGCCTTTATCAATTTTTTTATTCTTTCATATTTCTCTATATATTTTACTAAGCTTCCTAGATATTTTTTTTAATCCTTCAATATTTTCTTGTATCTTTCAGTAATGTTCGACACAAAACAAGTGCAACTTTTTCCTTTTTCAAAAAATAGTTATCTATCTCCATTCTCCAATAGACATTTTGTTGGTTTTTATGTGTTGTCAATGTAACTGCGTATCTTTCTAACATGATATACATCATATGAAGTAAAATAAAATAATTGTGAAGAACCTTTTTGGATCATCACTGTTCAATCTGAAATAGTTTTGAATCTGTGTGAAGCTCAATAAAATATATACTGAAACATTGAAGACTATATATATATAACCCAAAAAGCCATTCTTTTCTTTTTGTTAGACAATTATGTGTTGAAATAAATTAGTATAATGTTAAAAAAAATTAGTTTAGTATTCAACTTGTATGTTATATAGAAAAAAATATCTATTTGTTTTATGATCTATTTAGTTTTTTTTTTTTTTTTTCTGGCTGCATGTAGCTTGTGATATTATATTAAACGTGTGTAACGTTGAATGCATATAGAACCAAAAACGAAAAAAAAAAAAAAAACTGTGTGCAATTGGCACTGTAGGAGGGGATCCACTTCCACATGTCATGGGTTATATTTTTATTTTGAAAATTTATATAGTAATCAACAAATTATAAGTACATGATTATTTTTCCTTTTCACATTTTTTGTGAATAATAATTACAAACATCATATTTTTGTAAGCGCATTCCATGAAATGTGTTATAAGAAGTGGATGATTTTTTAAATTAAATAAAAAATTATAAACTTGAAAAATGATGCCTTGCTAAGCAATGGCCTCAATCATCTCACAAAGTTATATTATATCACTTTAACACACTGCATGAAAATTTAAAATTACAAAATATGTCTCTCGTTACAAAACAATCTCATATACTTAGATTTAAATTAATTTGTTATTACATACCAAGATGCATTGGAAACTTGATTTTGCTTAATTAAAAACATTTCGATCTTGGTCACAACAATTTACAAGGTTTAATGTTATCCGGTTATATTTTGGCACCATCCATCATTTTTTTCTTTTGTCTTTTGAAACTTTGATAATTGTGAACTTAAATGCTAATAGCTTTCTAGTCAAAATACAGCTATCTGGTGACAATAATAATATTTATTGCTCCCACAAGTGTACGTAATTTATATAGTAATAAATTGAGTATTTTGTGTCAAATCCAGAAGAAGATAGTGATATTTGTTATTTATAAAAATAAATAAGAGTTTTGAAAAGATTTTAATAACTGATTAAATAACACAAATAAATAAGGGAACGATAAAAGCGATGAAAACAATTAATTAACAATCAGAAACCAAGGGATTAGGTTCACTTACCAGAATGAGTTACTCTAATCTAGTTGTTTATTTCCCTTCTTTTATAGTGATAATTGTCTCTTTGGTATCCCAATTCCTTTCCTGTATATAAGTATATATTTAATCAGAGTTAAATTTAGATCCCTCTAAACTCTACTTTCTAACTAAATCATAAAGCTAAGATTTCAGTCACCAGCAATCTCTAAATTATTCTGACTATCTCTCTAGGTCTTGGTAAGTCTTTCACTTTTTAGGTCATCAAACCACCCACAGATAATATATATAGCAGCCATCTATATGAACAAAAATTCATCTCAACTAGACAAAAATTCTCATAGACAAAAAATTGATGTTCAATAGGAAAATAAACGAAACCAAAAAAGAATAAAATCCATCACAGCTAGGCCACTCCCTACCTGATAGGGAACAAGAAATAATAGAGTTAAAACTAGATCCTAGATAAGATATATAAAAAGAATCTAAAGAAGATGAAAAGAGGGAAAACTCCTAGCTCGAAGAACTCATCTAGACTCCATAATATGCCTCCTAACCTTCAGATATGAGATTGGATTATTTGAGAGGCTTTTGGGAGGTTTGTTTATAATAAATTGATCCTTCTATCTCGGGCTTGGAATTTGTCCAGTCACGTCTTAACGTATCAGAGTGACATTTTAGTAGCCAGAGGACCTTGATACACATGAATGCATGAGATATCTCTACAATCCTTTCCCAACTAAAGTTCCCCACATGTGTGTTAATGTGTGCTTTTATTTGATGAATGTATTCATAGAATTACATTCAATAACATCTCTTAGAAGCCATGAGTTTTGAAGGATGATTCCTTGAATTTTATTTTAAATAAAAGGGTAATCATTTAAGGGATGATACACAAACTCAAACAAAAAAAAAAATCTTTAGTTCTAGCTGGTTAAAAAAGGACTTTGGTTGTTGTTAATTTTAATGGTGCTAGTGAGGGCATCTTCTCTTCCGGAGCATCTAAGTTCAATTTTTTTTTTCCAAATTAGGATATTCTAAGTAGCTACTTCTTCTTTTAGATGATTTTCTTAGCATTACTAATTAAGATCAACATTTCATTTTATTTTTTATTTTCATCTTTTGTTTTATTATTAGTTTGTGTATTGATAAAATTTCTTGTTTTAATAATTCTTTATGCATAAAAGTAAGTCTTTAATTATTTTAATTTTATTAATGCCAGCCAGGACATGTCTTCTCATTTGGGAAGCCAATTTTCTGGAAACAAGTTTTTGAAAGAATGGATATATGATGTTGATATCCAATGAAAATTTTCAGTTATTTCCATATTTTTTGTTGTAAGCATCATAATTTTGAAACTTAACCATACTTCCAACAACTCATAATGCATTCCTGTCATATTTTTCTAATTATTTTCTTTGCATTATCATAAACAACAAGTACGTTGCTTTTCTTAGAATTTGTTTCTTTCATTTGGGATTTTTGAACCATAACCCAATAAGTATATATTCTTGAAGACTATCAATTTATCAAAGTTAAATACTTTGTGTCAAACAAATATATTATATTGATTGTGATTTGCTTAAAGTTATTATATTATTATAGGTAATTGATCCGGAATATTGTCTCCTCAATTCTACATAGGCCAATTTTGTTGCCACATTGAAAGAAATACTATAGGAGATACTCTTTAAAATCAAAAGTGCTCATCTTACAAATATGAAGATTATATATATAATGACATGCCTTTAACTTGTCTTGCCTCGTCATTGAAGAAGCATTGAAAACTTAACCATGCTCTCAAGAGGTCATATTGTGTTATCGTCATATTGTTCAAATGGTTTCAATAATGCATTGCTTGAAACAACTTCTCCACTCAACATGTCCATGATAATCCCTTCAATCTATTTATAAGAAATAAGTAATAGTTTAGTGAGCATTAAATATCTACAACAATTTTACATGGAAAAGCTTTTTATGGTACTTAAACGTGTTCATTCAAGAAAGAAAAATTAATCAGTTGCTCATTGAATCATTTTTAAGGAATTTTTTTCATGAAACACCTTTCCTAGATGTGCCACATCTAATTACTTTTGCCACAGAATATTAACACCATTTAAAGGCTTATATTATAAATTAAATATATGTACCTATGGCCAATAAAATATATCATAGTTGCTCCTTTAGTTCCTTATTTATTCCCCTCTTTCTCTCCTGCATGGCAATATCCAATATGACATTGATAGATAATGAAACATGTTCACAATGCAACAATATAAACATGTTCATTATCCCAATGTTGTTCTTCTCTTGGCAATAAAGGCCGGTTGTAGTTGTGATGCCTCTACAGTCCGAATATATTTTAGTTTTTTAATTTAATGTATTATTTTTCCTGTAAAATATAAAAAGAAGAAAATAAGCATTTTACATATAATTAAGAGATAAGAGAAAAGTATATAAATATTAATTAAATAGGTATGGAATATTAATAAATTTAGTCAAATATAAGTCAAAATCTGTACCTATTTGACTATACAATATACACTTATAAAAGAGGCTCGGCACAAATGAAGTTACTACCAAAAAATTTTTTTCTTCTTTTCACATGGGTTCGTTGTGTATCATCACAAACAATTCTGATGGCTCTACTAATTAATTATCACACTATGAATTTATGATATGTTTGTGATGATTAAATGTTTTTAATTAAAATAAATATATTAATTATACATTCCTTGACAATCTCTCGCACGATACATTAAAATGGAACTGCCTTTGCATTTATACTTTATATTTGTATTTATACAGCAATGAGTATTTATTTGCATCACATCTCCATGTTTAATTCTCTACCTCATTTAGTTTTATTTTTCTTTTCTTCATCAAATAATATTGCAGGAGATATTCCAAGAGAGATTGGCCATCTCCAAAATCTAAAACTTCTATATTTGGGTGGAAATAAGCTCTCTGGCCAAATACCATCAAATATCTTCAATATTTCGGAGTTACAAGAGATTGATTTAAGCTGGAATAATTTGTCTGAAAGCATTCCCTCTAGTGTATGTCATGGACTTCCAAAATTACAAGGGCTATATCTTCAACACAACGCATTATCTGGAGCCCTGCCATCCATTTGGGTACAATGCGAAGAGCTCAAAGACATACAATTAGAATACAACTCTTTTACAGGTATTTGCTACCAGCCCACTATTTTAAATCTTCAACTTTAATGATTGCAATAATAGCATTAGTTCTTTTTGTTTTGTTGCTATTTTGCAAGATGCATTCCTAAAGAAATTGGTGATATCACAAGGCCGATTTTATTTTAAGTTTACCTCTTAGTAAGATTTTTGGCTCCAAATCGAAAAGCTTAGAAACCTGACTATGCTTCAGTTATTTTAAATCTCCCTTGGCCACTGCACCAATGAATTTGTCTTTTTGTACACAATCTTTACAAATGTCATAGTAGCAGTTTGAAAAACATAATATGACTAGATGCTAAATTACAAATCTATAGAATATTCTACTTTCAGTATTTAGATCCTACTTGTAATAGGTGAGATATTTGAGTTTTTTTTATAATTTTTATATTTGTTTTAAATTTTTATATGTTTCATTGGGATTTTCATATAACCTAAAATTATAGAAGATATTGCTCCATCTTTATACAATTGTTTATTCTTTCATATTTCTATATATATTTTATTGAGCTTTCTAAACATTTTTTTAATCCTATAATGTTTTCTCGTATCTTTTAGTAAAGTTCAATACAAAACAAGCACAATTTTTTTTTCCTTCTATTTTTATAAAATTTTTATCCATCTCCATAATTTCCAACCAACATTATTTTGAAGAAAACATGATAATTGTGAGGGACTCTTGTGGACCTTCAACGTTCAATCTTAAATATTTTTGAAGCCACGCGAAGCTCAATAACATGTATTTTAAATGATTAAACATTATATTTTTATATATAACCCAAAAGCCATATTTTTCTATTAGTTAGCTTATTACGTGTTGAAAAAATAAGTATAATATTTTAAAAATTTATTTTAGTATTCAAGTTATGTAAAAAAATATATTCTATTGAATTATATTATTTTTCTGGCTGCATATAAGTTGTGAAGTTAAGAGTGTGTAATGTTTTAAGCCAAAAAAAGAAAAATAGAGAGAGTGTGAAATGTTGGAAAGGAAAGTTGTGTGCAAATGGCACGGTAGGGGATCCTCTTTCACGTGTCATGCATTATACTATGACAATTTATACCGTAATCAACAAATTATAATAATTACTAATTTTTCCTTTTCACATTTTTTTGGTGAATAATAACAAACGCCATGATTTTTGTTAGCACTTTCCATGAAATATTTCATATGCAGTAGAGGATTTTTTAAATAAAAAATTATATATATAGTGGATATACATACTAAAGACAAGGCATGCTACAATTTTTATATTCAAATTTTCTATACTTTAATTTCTTAAAAACTTAATTTTAATTAACTATATATTCAAAAGTGTATGTTTTTAAGTGTTCATCTTCTTTCATATACCAAGATGCATTGAAAATTTGACTATGCTTCAATACTTATATCTTAATTAGTGCCAATAAATTATGATGTGCTAACTTCTGTGTATGCATGCATTACTTTTGATATGCTTTTTTATGCAATTGCTCTGAGTAACAATGAATTTGGCTTTTAAAATTCTTCAAAAATGTTCATCATAACTTTTTATTTAGATAAAATATTACGGTTAAAAATTTGCAGATCTATTCAACAACTTAAAAAAAATACTAGAATATTAATTTTGTTTGAATGAATTACATAAAGAGTTTTATGTATTCCTTAATACAGAAAAAAGAAACAATACCTAAATTTTGAAAACGATACTTTTTTTTTTTTTAGCTTTCTGCTAGCATCACCTCCATTACAAATAAAAAGGGCACACACCTATATGTATCACCAAAACTAACAGAGGTTCAGATGTAATGTTTTCACACATCAACGCACATAATAATTTTCTGAAAACAATAATGAGTTGCTTTCAACAACTAATTATGCGTTACTGTCATATTTTTTTAAATGGTTTTCTTTGCATAATTAGAAACAACTACAATGCTTTTCTTATATCTTGTTTCATTCATTTAGGATTTTTGAACCATAATGTGAATAAATAATCTTAAAGAAATTAGTCATAATTGAGATTTCAGAATTATGAGCTCTTAGACAGTAAGCTCACGAATACTGCCAATAAATTTGAATATGCTCCAAGAGTCAGACTTCAGTGTAAATAATTTACAAGGTACACCTTTAGCAAAACATAGTACAATATTTTTAGTTTGTTCATTGAATAATATTGAAATTCCTATCATCTAAAATTGAATGTAATTTCACAAAGAAGAAGAAGAAGAAGAAGAATGTGTCATAGACTTCTAAATTTTCATATGCTATATCTTCAAAAGAATAACTAATTATCTAGAGGTCTGCCATACAATGCAAAGAGCTCAAAAGCTTACAGTTAGAATACAGCTAATTCTTTACAAGGTCTGTGCTACTAGAGAAGTTATTGATTCAGCATAAAGCATTTGTTTCACAAACAGTTTGTGAAACTCAATTTTTTGTTTTGAGTAAATTTATACCCATTTTTCTACTAAAATGATTTCTTTTAAAACGTCATCTTGTAATTTTTTTTTAATTGTTGTCATGCCCAAGTATTATATATCTAAAAGTTAAATTCTCTGATGCTAATATCTACACAAGCAATATAATTACAAATGCAAATTTCCAATTAGATTATGTAACCACTTCTTGCCGCCACTACACAAATGTAATATGTGTTCCTTTATGTGTACAGTTTTGAGTTCCTTATTCTTATTATTATTATTATTATTATTATTGGTCAATATAACTGATACTTCATAGAATGTTGGCAATCTTAGATGATTCCCAGCCTTTAATTTCATAACTAATATAGACCACATATATGGAGGCATGCATTTATCTTTGCCACCATATTTTTTTTGTTGCGTACTTAATAGCTTAAAGTCAACTCTGCATAAGAACATAAAAATATACAAATCAGGAAGGAAAGCTTTCCAAGACCAGTCCCAAAGACCAGCATATTTGACCATGCAAATGGGCTCCAAAAATCATGAAAATTTTAGACATCAAACCAAACTGGGAGAGTAATATACATACAAAAATTCAACTCAGGATCCCCTAAGTACAAATAGAAAAAAAATCAACAAAGTGAGTTGTTAGGAAGACAGAATGCTTCGCAACCAGCACTTGAAAGTCAGAATACTTAACTAGGCAAATAAGATTAAAAAAAAAAAATCCTCAAAGTTGTCTACCAAACAAGATCTTATCAGAACAAAAGTTATCATTTATGAAACAAGCTAGTATCATGAATTTAGATTCCCTTTCTGTACATTACAAACCCCAAGTTGCAGCAAAGACGAACATCAAGATAGCAATCACAATAACACAAATTGTTCAACATATATATATGACACTCGATGGTTTGGTAAACATAATGCACAAAGAGCAATAAGGCATATAAACATGTAATTCTCAACATATGAAGTAACGATCACATATGAATTCATCACACCAAAAGTAGAAGAAATCAATTTTGACCACCAGGAATTCAAGAGGAGTTTGATAAAAAATAGGAACAAATTAACATGTAAGGAGTCAAGATTGAAGACTTGCTCGGTCAGCACCTTCTCTGTTTCTTCAGCACCTGTCTTTGATATTTCCTTTTCTTGCAAAATTTCCCATCTAATCAGCAAAGTAAAGCGCAAAGTTGCTTTCTGAGGCTTGCGTGGGAGATGGATTAACCAGAACAGAATAGCGGCGGGTTGCCGTTTTCCTCTTCCTTATCTTTCTGATACGCTCTCATCGTGACAGAGGGCTAGCCATTTTGTCTATTCCAGAATGTTGATTTTTCTTGTTTCTTTTTTGGTAAAATTTTATTGCTAATTTTTCTTTCAGGCCATATACTAGAAGGCATGGAAAAGTCGGCTATACTTCAAATTTACATCTTGATCATAATAATTTACAAGATTTTTTTTTTCAATTTATGATATGCTAGCTTCTATATTTTATTTTTTAGTTTTCTTATCATTTTTACTATAAAAAATAAGCATATTATTTTCCTAATTTTTTATTTTGTTTATAAATTTGTGTATGTGTGAAATTTTCTTCTACAATTCTTTATGCATAAAAATAAGTATTTAGTTATTTTTAATTTTAGGGATACTAATTAGGATGTCATGTGGATTAGCTTTGGAACAAAGAAAGCTCCAGTTGGAGTGAGGAAAAAAAAGATGAGAGAATGACAAATAAGAACCTTTTAAGAACATTAATGTCAAATTAGGATTTTTTGACATTGATGTTTTCAAATTTCAGTACTCCTTCTAACATATTTCAATATTAAAATTTTCAATTTGGTATTAATGTTCTTACAAGGTCCTTATTTGTCATTCTCCCAAAAAAGATTTGCCACCAAAATTTGTTCTCTAATCTCATGAATAACAATGGCTTTCTGGTCAAAATACAGTTTATTAATATATTATATTGAGTTGAAATGTACTTATTGAGTGACAATATTAATATCAATATTAAAATATGAAGTCTCTATCTCACTTGTTCCATTTAAATTGTAGACAAAAATTAAAAAAATAAAAAATATAGAACTTCAATCCCTATAGTTTAACAAAATTTAACTTTTAATATGACATTAAATGTAAGTTTATGAACAATATGTACTTTATTGTTCATTTTTCACATTTTTTGGTTATAAAGTTTATGTATTCATGAAATTTCTTGTTTCAGTAATTATTTATATGCATAAAAATCAGTCTTTAGTTATTTTCTATTGTAGTGATGCTGTATAGATTGATTAGTGTGGCCATGTCGTACATGTCGGGCTTTATCTGAACAAAACATGTGATATATATAGATTGATCAAACATTTGTTAAGGGCTTTTAAGGTTTTTTTTTTTTTGTGCCATGAGTTAAATTATTTATTATCCATCTCTCTATAGATGTTATAATTCTGAATAATCTTAGGATTCGTATTACCCTACAAGTGTAATCAATCTATCCAACCAACAACTTTTCAACCGCAAGAATTTTATGAATGTCATGAAAAAAAATATTTTTTAAAGATAACTATATTTTCAGGTTCTCTTCATTTGAAGGAGGGATGAAGTTAGAATTAATCAAAGGTGGCTGGGAGATTTTTTTAATTGCACACACTCACAGACAAACTATTGTATTTCAACTTTCAATTTTAGATTTTTATTTTTGATATTTTTAAAAGTAATTTTATGATTTGAGAGAAATGCTATTAGATAATTGATGATGTATAGTTATATAAAACCTAAAAGAATACAAATATATAACAATATAAAATATGAGCAGCATATTAACTTTTCAACAGTACTTAAATAAAGAACTTTATAAAGAATATAAAAAATAATTCCCATTTTAATTATTTAAGAACGGTAATTATACAAGTTCAATGAAATATATAATTTATTCATATTTTTTATATAATATCGTATATAATACACTAATTTCATCCATTTTTATATAATAATTATTGTTAGTAATTCCATGTTTTTATAGGAAAAATTAACTGGTTAGTCCTTGTAGTTTTTGAGTTTGCAATTCAGTCTTTATACTTTAACTTGTCATGATTTAGTCCTTAAACTTTCCTCTGTTATTTCAATCCATCCTTATTTTTTAGAAAATAAATTATTCTCTTATAACTCATCCTACAAGGCACTTACAGTAGTTAAAAATATTAAAAAGTGTTTTGAACAGAATTGAGGAATGTATAAGGACCCACTTGCGATGAATTAGAGTATAGAGATTGAGTTTCAAACTCGATGAAAGTACAGGAACAAAATAATTAATTTTTCCTTGTTTATATATGTAAGATTTTATTCAAAATGTTTTGTGAGTTTTGATATTATATATTGTTAGAAAATTTTCATATTATTTATGATTCATTATTAGAGAAAAATGTATTCATTAATCTTTAATTTCATTAATATTAATGAAACCACCCCATAATTTTCAAAATATAGACTATAATTTAATTTTTAACTCTGTTGAATATAGTTTACCAAAGGTTCTAAAATCCTTTTTTTATTAATTAAAAGGTGCATCATAGAAATTTCAAACTTACCAGTATAATGCTTTGACTATATGTCATTTGATTAACCGATGCTATTTATAACATGTCTCAAGCAGGTTTTTACATGTTTGGAAAAGCCATTGTTTTTTGGAGGGAAAAATATAAGAATATTAGCGCAGTGAAACTGTATCAATACAATTTCTCTTATTTTTTAGTTTAAATTCATTTCTACTATTTTTATTGCTTCAAAAATAATTACCATTTCAGTGCCTTGAAAGGTATATATGAGCCTTTTTTAGGTATTCCTTGAAAGAAACATGCACTAATTTTGTATATTTATGCTGATGAATTGTTTTGTGACAGTTAACAATAGAGCTAAAATTAGAGGTTATATATAACAAAATTTTGTATGACTTAAAAGCTTCATTATTTTTCCGGACTCTGGTTTCTTTTAAATACAAAATTCAAGCGTTATTATATCATAATCACAATCACTTTAAAAAATGCATTCATAAATTTATGTTTGTTACTTATTTTTCTTTTATCATAATCTTATACATGAGAATTCATAATAATGTGGTTTTTTTATTATCACATTGCAGGAAATATTCCTCAAACAATTGGTGACCTCACAAACTTGAAAATTATACTTCTAGGTGCTAACAAGTTGTCTGGCCAAATACCAAGGAATATTGGAAACATGACAAAACTTCAAGGGCTAGACTTTAATGGAAATAATATTGAAGGTGAACTTTCAACTAATCATAATCACATAATGTGTAACTTTTTATCATATTTGTGCTATTTTTTGAGATAGTTCATTCGTGGGCTATATTATATAAATATATATGTCCCCTAAAATTAAGGGTCTTCAAGTTGTTCTTTAACAAGTTTACAGAAAATTAAAAGGATGATCCTGAAACATTTCTTCTACATTTTAAAATTTTGATTTGTTAAAAATGAATTCACCAGACATGAACACTTGGAGCATTAGAAACTTTTCTTATATCTTTATCAAATACATAGAAAATATTCTCAATATAACTGATGTGTGACAAATTTAAATTTTATATCTTTAAGCATTAATCTTTTTCCAAGCAATATGCCAGGTAATTTTTCATCAAATTATGATGTTATAACTACTATATGTTTTCCCTCTTTAATTGTTTTCTCAGTGTGTCTGTGTCTATATATATATATATATATTTCTCTACCAATTTTTCCTTTTGGTTATACATTTGTGTGTTCAGAACTTCTATTTTTATATATGAATGATTCTTTTTAATTACTATTTGCAAACATTGATTAGAACTAGAGACTTATTGAAATACTTTAGTTTTAAAGTCGGATAAAATGAACCTTAAATGATATGTGGCACTACAAAAGTTTTACAGTAGGATTAGCAATATAATTCACATTTTGTATTAGATTATGTCACCAATCTATACTAGCTACCAAGATATTAACTCTAATTCTGATTTTAACTTTCATTAATTGGTCAAATTCTTGTATAATTAATGGTTTTTGATACATTATTATTGCTAGAATTCTAGATGTGAGGAAACGTTCAAAATGTGTTCATATTTCATATCAAAGACATCAAAGTGTTAATAAAATTATCATTGATTTTCTTAGTTCAATTGCACTACAACATAACTTTTTTCTTTCTGTACATTGCATGGATCAAACTATTTGTACAAACTAAAAATTGAACAGGTATATCTTAAAATATACGTGTATTATTAAGTATTTTTATTTTAGAAAGACATTAACATAATGTCCTTGAAATATTTCATAGATAGTCTTTTGGATGTTATATTTTCTTGAAAAATTAGTCAACAACATTCAGTATATTGATAAAGTTCAATATAAGTGAAATTTAAATGACATATTATTTTTTTATCAAAATTTATCCATATAAAATATATATTGTATAAAAAGCCAATATGATGTATTTGGCTTATGAATTGTGTTATGATCCAAGATATTTAATTTATATTGAACTGCATGTCTTTTTATTTTGAAATATAAGGTTTATTTTTTTCCATTGAATTTACAAAAGAGGTTTTTAGTTTTTGCAAGTTTAATAGAGGCACATGTAAAATGATTTTGCATGTGCTAGTTAACTCCCTCACTTACAGCACTATCTTCTCATGGAATACATTCCAAAATTAGTAATCTTTTTTTTTTATATTCTCAATTATCTCAAAGTTATATTGCATCATTTTAACACATTTCATGAAACTTTAAAATTACAAAGTCTGTCTCTTGGTATCAAGAAAGTTTTTTGTCTAATACCATTTGTTTAGTATATTATGTTTTATTCATTTTCACTTTTGATATGACTTCATTTTTGGGTTTTAATTAATTGTTTGGCAACATAAAGATGCATTGGAAATTTGATACGCTATTAGTAAATGATAGTTTGGTGCTATCGATCATTTCATTCCTTTTTGTTCTTCTTTTGTCAGTTGGAACATAATCACTAGTGTGACAATGTTAATATCTACACCAATATTAAAATATAAAATCTCCATATCAGTTGTTTTCCTTAAACTGTAAACAAGAATTAATAAATTGAAAATAGAAAACTTTAGTCCCTATAAACCAGAATCAACATCTCTATTTCATGGGCTGAAAAAAAGAGGCAAGCATATTCCTCAATACATAGTGCCAAGATTTGTTTATATTTGAGGTGTAAGGCAAAGGCGTAGGAAAGATAAAGAGACTTCAAAATTTGGTTGTTGTTTTTTAATTTTTTTAGGAATGCATAATAATTAACCACATCATGTATTATGTAAGAATTCATTTGCAACATTATATCACTTTTTCGGTCATTGATCAATTCACTTAGTGTCCACTTTTGACCATTGTACTGGAATGGGCCAAGAGCTAGTTCCAGTTCAACTGATTAAAATGGCTAGTCCAGTTCAATTTTTTAAGATCATAACTTTTCATTTGATCATGTCATCATTAATCATTGTTGGTATTTAAGTTTATAGCTTTATTATGATGCTAAAATATATTACGTATAAGTTTTTTTTCCTTGCAAAATTTTATTTTTAAATTATAGGAGATATTCCCAAAGCAATTGGGAGTTTGAACGTACTTCAAATGTTAGACCTTAATGAGAATAATTTACAAGGTATGCCTTCAGAAAAATATAATATTTATATTTTTTTAATATTTTTTAGATTTTTAAATAAATTTATTAGCACCACTAGAAACATGTTTTTTCTTTTTGTCCTTTTCATTTGAGTTCATTAATCATATGACAAGCAATAACCCTAAGGAATTTTGGGTGACCTTCTAAATTTAAAAATATGAACACATTCACATCACGACCCATCATTATCTATTTCTTGCTTTCTACCATCTCATGCTCTTGCAAGCAACATGAAAGGCATTATTTACATTTACATCTTCATCATCATTGATCGTTGTACTTTAGAGCCCTCAGTTAAACATATAGATTTGTGGCTTACATGCACAAGAATTGTGTTGTGAAATTTACAACACTTTGGTGTCCATCAAATATCATAGAATTATCTTACTCTGTTTTTTGGACTTCAAAACAGAGGTAAGCATGCAATAGTGTTATTGATTACACGAAGATTTATCCTTCCAAATCCATGCTCTTTTCATTTAACTCTCTCAATAGTTTCTTTTTCTTCTATTTATTTTTCAATAATCAATTCTATGAATATTTTCCTTTTAATTTGAGCTATCAGATTATGGATTGTCTGTCTTTAATTTGTAGCTCTGTCTCAACTTCTTCTTTACTGTTTTTGTTATCTTATCTTCCTTTAACTTCTCTTTTCTCAATCTCAGAAGTCGGTCTCTGTTGCTTGTCTGGAAAGCCAATTTTTGAGAAAAAATCTAAAAAAACTTTGAATTGTGGAATGATGTTGAATATATAATCTTTTTATATAAAGTTTCTCTCAAGTGAAAGTTATTATCTACATAATTATTATTTAGACCCTCATTAGAATTTCAAAATTGTAGGTAATATTTGAAATGTGTGTATATATAGATTTATATATTAATGTTGAAGTACTGTAAATGTCCAGACATAAAAACATAGTTGCTCTTAGTTTGTCAAATCAATAATACAATCTGGAAAAATTCCTTCTATCTGAAATCAAATATGTGATTTCACCCAAAAAAAAAAAAATTGAAAACGTGAACCATCACTGTACGGATAGTCTAAATTTTTTGGTAAAAGTTATGCGAAGCTCAACAAAATATGTATTAAAAATTGAAGAGTAAAAGAGAATATATAAAAGCCAAAAAAGCCATACTTTATTTTATCAGTTAGATTTAAATGTTTTGATAATGAAGTATAATATTTTAAAATTTTTTAATTTAGTGTCTAACCTGTCCATCATACATAAAACGCATATAATTTTTTGCAATCTATCTTGTTGTGATACTTTTTTCTTCGTGCCTCTATCTAGAGAATTGTTGGGGAAAAAAAGGACAAGACTATGTTCCAATTTTTATATTCAAATTTCTTGTACTTTAATCTATCTTTTGGTATTATATATTCCTTGGGATATATTTCTTGCTTGGATAAAATAGGAAACCTTTATCTTATTTTTATTGAATAAAAGCTCTTCTTTAACAAAATATGTAAGTGCTACTCATTTTTGTTTTTACGATTTCTTATTATGCATCTGTACTAAAATGAGCTCTCTTTTTTTTTTCCTGAATGAAATTATATTTCCAGGAAAAATCATGTGTAAGAATAATGCCTTGATAATCATTTCATTAACTCATGCTAATTAGAACATGCTCCAAGAAAGTTTTTACATGTTTGGAAAACCATTTTGTGAAATAAAAAATATATATGAATAATAGTGCAGTGAAGATGTGTTAGTAAAATCTCTATCATTTTTTTTAGTTTAAAGTCATTTCTACCTTTTTTTTTCTTCAAACATAATTACAATTTTAATACCTTGAAAGGTATGCATGAGTATTTTTTTTATTTTGATTCAATTAATACTCCACAAACTTAATTTTTTTTATTTACATCTTCACTGTCTTTGATAATTATACTTTAGACCCCTCAACTACATATTCAGATTCATGGCTCCAAATGCACGAGAATTGTGTTGTGAAATTTGCAACACTTTGGTGTCCATCAAATATAGTAATTTCTCAACGCTGAATCAAAAAGAAAAAATCCTTTTCTTTCACAACAAGGATTTGGACAAAGAACCTTATGATAGGCTACCAGCAGAGTTTCCATTGAACCCCCAATTTTTCTTGATAGATTTACCTCAAATTTTATAAAAAAATACTCTTAAAATACCTTACCGTAAAATTTAATTCTTACTAAAATTCTTGTGCTATTATTACATTTGTGTACGTGCTAAATATCCTATGTCTATAATTCTTTATTCACAAAAATACTTTAGTTTTGGTTAGCTAAAAAGAGACTTTAGTTATTGTTAATTTTAGCGACATTGGTTAGGATGTCTTCTCTTCTGCAGCATTTGAGTTCTTTTTGTTCATATTATGTTCTTTTTTGCAACACTTTTAGATTATTTTCTAAGAATTACTATGAACAAGATGCACTTTATTTTTCATTTTCACATTTTCTTTTATTACGAGGTATCAATAAGTTTGTGCATCTGTGAAATTTCCTGTTGTAATAATTCTTTATGCATAAAAATTTGGTTATTTTTTATTTTAGGGATGCTAGCTTGGGAAGCCAATTTTTAGACTGGACCGAGATATGATGTTGTTATATGCAATAAAAATTTTTAGTGATTTCTATTTTTGTTGTTGTAATAATTTTGACTTAACTAACGATGAAATCTCAACTATACACCCAACAGCTCATGATGCATTACTGTCAAAATTTTCAACTTAACTATACATTCAGATTTATCTTACATGCACAAGAATTCTTTACTCTATTTACATCTGTTTTCTGGGTTAAAAAGTATAGGTAAGAATCTAATACTGTTCTTAATGATTATATGAAGATTTCCCCCTCTAACCCCATGCTTTTTTCTTTTGAATCTCTCAATAGTTTCTTTTTATTTATTTGTCACACATCAAGACGATGAAGATTTTCCTTTTAATTATCTACATAGAGAGATGGATGAGAGATAGATATTGAACTATCAGCTTATGCATTGTCTATGTCTTTATAGCCCTATCTCAACTTCTTCTCCTCTTTTGTTTTCATTATCATATCTTGTTTTGACTTCCCTTTTCCTAATTCAAAAATTGATGAAGAATAAGCTATTAATAGTTTTAAAAAATTATCTTATGTTTTACTTTCCTCTTTTATTTCCAACTTCAAGAGTTATACTTTGATCCACTACAATAAATTTGATGAATCTGTTTTATATAAGACTGTAGGAGATATTCCTGAAGAGATTGGTAATCTTAAAAGTCTAGAACTCTTATATTTAGGCGGAAATAAGTTTTTTGCCCAAATTTCATTAGCTATCTTTAATATGTCTGAGTTACGGGTTGTTGATTTAAGTTGGAATAATTTGTCGGGAGGCATTCCTTCTAATATATGCAATGGACTTCCAAATTTACAATACTTGGCTCTTCAAGATAACAAATTATTTGGACCTATACCATCTGGTTGGGCAAATTGCAAGGACCTCGAGGAGTTATCATTAGAATACAACTTTTTCAAAGGTATATACTTCTCACTTTGCCAAATCTCTAAATTCAACCTTATCAAATATATTCTGATTGTATTTTTATGAACTTGACATTGGTATTGATCAAAACAATAAAACAAATTGGACTTCTTTATATCCTATTTTCATTTAAATGGAAATCTACTTTGGCAAATTAATTTATATGTACAAAAATAAACAACATTTCAAGAGCCCATATCAAACATGTTTTGGAAAAAATAAAGTAAAATAAAAATTTGATATTATTTTCATTAAATATAAAAATAATTTATATAATTTTTAAATTCTTTTGTTCGAAAAAGCTTGCATCAGCTCACAACCAATTGCCCTGTTTCCATTTTCCACCCTCATATATGGAAAAAATATTACATACCCTTGTATATGAGCCTAAATAAAAAACATAAAGTCTATAAACATAATAAAAACACTATCTGTTTGTACCCTTGTATATATGAACCTCAATGTCATATTTTGATTAAAATAATTTTTTATGTATCCAACTTTCTATTTTGTTTGCAAAATAATTCCATATCTTGCAAATAAGCGGGTTAAATCAAGTAATAATTGAAAAGATTTCACATGTATTAGAAAGAAAGAGGGAGAGTAGAAGAAAGGGAGAATGAAAATAAACAATGTTTTAATTTTTTTTTCATTTCTACATAAATGAAGTTCTTTTTTAAACGAATCAAATTATTTTCATAATAAATAAATAAATATACAAGTTGCGGCTATCAAACCTGTTTGAAGATAAATATAAAAAACTTACGTAAAAGCTCAATAGCCCATGCATTACTACCCATATTTGTCTTAAATGATTTTCTCTGCATCATTTTAAATGAAAACATTGCCTTTTTATTTTCATTTTTGTTTGTTCTTTTACAATAATATTGTTATAGATATTCTTAAAGAAATTGCCGAGATAATGAACATTTAAAAATTATGATCTTCAATACTACAATATATATATATATATATATGATGTCATCATATGAATTGTTCAGGATCTTGAGTGAGCTCATGCTATCAGCTCATGAACTGTCACCACAAAAACAGCTTTTTTAGTTAGGCAAACTACATGGTCTTATTCTCATACAATATATATTAGCCAAAAATTTATATGATGATGATGGGTCTTACTTAACTTATGATACCATATGTTATGTCCTGTTAAATACTAGGCTACTTGGCCTGAGACATAAGCCTGATGAGTATTATTTCTTTAAAAAATTATTTAATTCCTTTATTCTAGAATAATTCCTTTATTTAAAAAACTACAGTATCAAAAAACAAGTAAAACTATAATATTTGATTTTTAACAAAGTTAACAATGTAATAGTATTTTCTTAAAATGAGTGAAAATATTGGGAATACCTTATGCCTAGCTAATTTGTGATTTCTAAATGGCATTAGACAATTTGTGCTTTAACTAATGTACTGTCCCTTATGCTTTTAAGTGTCAATCTTCTTTTAGGTCATATACCCAAAAGTATTGGAAATTTGACCATGCTTCAACAGTTAATTGTGGGTTCCAATAACTTGGAAGGTATTCATTCAGCAAATGATAGCATTGTTATATATATTTATTTTATCTGTTGCTTAATTACAAGAAATATTCCTAATAAAATTGGTGATCTTAAAAACCTAAACATTGTAGACATGTTTTAACAGTTCAAAAAATTACATATAATTGCTACAATCATTTTTTCAAGTTCACATGTTTTTTATTTTGTGCAAAAGTGGAAACATTAATTTTTAGTTTTTTTTTTCATCTATTATTCCATTACAAAGATATTTTGTAAGAGATTGCAATATTTGAAATTGAAAATTTAATCTTGAATCTTAATAAGTTTTCTCAGTTTCAACCATTAAATGTTGGAGTGGAGGCATGTTTAAGACAAAAAACTAAAGCATGATTTAATTTTTATATTTAGGTTACAATGCTCGACTATGGTACGAATAAATAAAAAGTCTTGATCTTTTATTTATTTTAACAGAAATATTTTTTTAATTATTTATAAGTTGAATTATATTTATAAAAATAATTTAAAGAATCTATGTAAAAGATAAGTGTCCATCTTGTTATTGTGTGGGGAGAAAGCTAAACTCTATTTGTAGAACTTGACTGACCTAATATATAAAGGAGTATGGACAATGATACATCTCATTTGTTAGATATTTGTCTTATTTACTATTTTTATTATTCACTTTAAATAACTTCACTAAAATTAATCTTTTGAATACAGGTTTCATACCTATGGAAATAGGCAATCTCCATAAGCTTGAGATATTATCATTGTCAGATAACAAGTTGAGGGGATCTATTCCGTCCAACATTTTTAACATTTCAACTTTGTGATGCTTAAATCTTGGAAACAATTCTATAATTGGCCATCTTCCATCAAAATTTGGGAATCTCACTAGTTTCTATGAACTATACTTGGGAGAAAATATTTTGACAGGATCAATTTCAAAAGTAATTGGTGGCTTTCAGGATCTTCAATATTTGAATCTTGAAGGCAATGAGCTGCATGGCCTAATCATTGATGAGATATGTGAAATCACAAAGCTTGCCTATTTATCATTAAGCATAAACAAGTTTTCTGGAGGAATACCACATTGTTTAGGAAATGTTACCTCTTTACGAGAACTTTACTTGGACTCTAATAAGTTAATTTTAAAAATACCCTCCTCCTTTTGGAATTTGAAAGACATATTGAAAGTAAACTTGTCTTCCAATATTTTAGTTGGAAATGTATCAAGTTTTGGAAACTTAAATGTTCTTATATCATTGGATTTGTCAAGAAATCATATTTCAGGCAATATTCCAACATCTTTGGGTGGACTAAAGAACTTGCAAGATCTCTCCTTAGCACATAACAATTTGCAAGGAAATATTCCTAAATCATTTGGAAATATGCTGAGCTTAGTAAATTTGGTCCTTTTTGAGAATAATTTAGCTGGTGAGATCCCCAAATCCTTGGAGTCACTTATCTTAAGTATATCAACCTCTCCTACAACAAACTACAAGGAGAGATTCCAAATGGTGGAGTTTTTGTAAATTTGACTGCTGAATCTTTCATCATGAATGAAGCTCTTTGTGGCCGTCCACAACTAAAAGTGCCTCACTGTGAAAAGGGAAGAAGAAAATGTTCATGGGCAAAATCACTTTTACTAAAATGCATATTACCCATGGTTGTGTCAATAATTTTAGTTGTCTTGGGCATTATTCTTGTAAGACAAAGACGATCAAATTTAAGAGAACCAATTGATAGGGACTTATCTATTTTAGGAGGGCCAAGGAGGATTTCTTATTTTAAAATTCTAGAAGCAACTAATGGATTTGATGAGAGTAACTTTCTTGGAAAGGGGAGTTACGGTGAAGTGTTCAAAGGAAAGCTTTTGAATGGGATGAAGGTTGCAATTAAAGTATTTAATTTTGATTATGAAAAAATGTCAAGGTGCTTTGAAGTGGAATGCAACACAATGCGTAATGTGCATCATTATAATTTGGTGAAGATCATAAGTAGTTGTTCCAATGTGATTTCAAATGTTTGATAATGGAGTTCATGCCTAAAGGGAGCAATGAAAAATGGTTGTATTCTCACAATTATTGTTTGGATTTTTTACAAAGGCTAAATGTAATGATAAATGTAGCATCTACTTTGGAGTATCTCCATCGTGGCTTGTCAGTACCAATAGTTCATTGTGACTTGAAGCCAAGTAACATTTTATTGGATGGTGATATTGTTGCTCATGTGAGTGACTTTGGGATTTCAAAACTTTTAGATGAAGGGCAATCTAAAATACATACAGAAACAATACCTACAATTTGATATATAGCACCTGGTAATTTTTCTAAACCTAGCTTCATCAAGTTCTTTTGGCATCTATATTTTGAGAATGCATTTTTTTTAATTTCTTTTAGATTACATTGGAGTCACCTTATTAAATGATACTTATGAAATCTTTCATACTCTATCACTTATTATTTAAATTAGCAATATCATAAAAAATCAATATACAAAATATTCATTACTTTCTTTGAGCAATACTACAATTGTGTCCACAAAGCATTAGATCTTCTTGATTTAGTCTCTATTGATAAGAAGTTTAATTGATTTTCATTAAAGTCACCTATCAAATAAATACTTGAAACCATTTCCTCCAAATTTTTATATAGAGAAAAGTACACTCGAATATATATATATATATATTCTAATTTTTTATTTGAGGAAGTTCTTTCATAAAATAGGCAACCAAAAGGATTTCTTATTTTCTATATTTTGCATTCATTGAGCTTGGTTGCTTTAATTATTTTTATGTGTATGTACATGATATGAGAGAGGGGGATGCAAATCACTACAACATGCACTTTTGTTGGATCAAAAAACAAGTCTCTCAAGGATTGCTTTATTGTAATTGTATATAAAAAATAATAGTGTAATGATTACACAAGAAACACCAATACAAATGATCAGTTTTGAACAATTTATCTTAATGAAATGTATATTTTTAATTTATTTTGGTTCATAAATTATGACTGTGAGAAATAAATTAATTTTTTGGTGCCTGAATCCAATTCTACGCAGAATATGGGTCTACTGGAGTTGTTTCAACAAAAGTAGATGTGTATAGCTATGGAATTATATTAATGAAGTGTTCACATGAAAAAAACCAATAGAAGACATGTTTGTCTCAGGATTGAACTTGAAGAATTGGATAAGTGACTCAATGCTACATGAAATGATTAATGTCATAGATTCCAATTTATTGCAAGGAGATGATCAATATATTGGTGACATATTGACTTCTACATCCAGTATTTTTGAATTGGCATTAAATTGTTGCAATGATTTTCCTGAAATGCAAAGCAATATGACAAACGTTGTTGTGTCATTAAACAAGATCAAGAACATGATTATGCAAAGACAACATTGTTGACATCATTAAACAAGCAATACTCTATTTTCAATTTATGTTGTACATTTCCTTTCAAAAACATGCTTGGCACATTACTTGTATGATGTATGCATGTTTTTTCACCAAACATAGAAAATTAGTGGTTGTAATGATTGTTATATCATATATGACATGCTTGATGAGATTTATGAGCAACAACGGAGTTCATACATTTTTTAAATAAATTAAACTTTTTATTTAACAAATGCAATGTTAAACAAAATAAAATGAATTAATTTTTTTACGTAACAAGGACAGACGAGAATGGTCCCCCCCTCTCTCTCTATATCCTGCAACTTCTAACTGACAAGAATGGAGAGAATGAAATAATAAGCTCATTGAGAAACTTACAAAACAAGACCCAAAGCTTGTTGGGTAAAATTTCAAAAGGAGACCCCACCAAATTTTTATTATTGTTATTATAATATTTTTATAATAAAAAATCAAGGGCACTTTAGTAATTTCCCATATAAGAAAATAAAACTAACATTTGGCTTAAGTAAGATTCAAACTTTAGACCTCCATATAAATAACTAGTATAAATTTCACTAGGCCACTACTCCTCATTTGTCATAAGATTAGAATAAATAAATTAAATATCAATTGAAAGAGGATTTGTTTAATTTAAAATTTAGGGTCATTATAGAGAACTAATACAACATAATTTAATTTGGAAGAAATAGAACAGGGAGATTATTCTTGTTAATATTTTTAACTCAAGAGATACATTGAAGAAGATTCTACAAACTACATTTTCAATCAAAAAATGCATGGATGAGCTTATTTGCAAAAGCGGCACCTCACTTATGAGCTAATTTAATTTGTTCATATTGAGTAAACTTTAGGTTAGATGTCCATCAATGACAAGAAAAGAAAATATTTTCTTTCATAATAGTTTTACATACTAAAAGGATCGTCAAACCTAATAATAATGTAGTGAATCCCTTTTGGCATCTTTTATTGTCATAAAAGCCTTAATATAGAGATTTAGATCTTTGCTTCGATTTTATGTCAAAAACAGTGGAGGACAGTCAAGTTTCTACTTTGGACAAAAATTTGGAATGTTGCTCAAATTTTATTGGTAAATAGCCTAATATGGTATTCCTTACTCTCTAAAGCTTAGACTCATGAGATTCCTAGTTTATCTCTCTACAATTTCTCAGGGAAAATCACTGGGCAGTTAGCAAGCTTGGCATTTCAAGTCTCATTCTTCTAACCAGAAATTTAGACCAAGAAAAATGCAAACCAATAAAATCTAATGACATTTTTTCCTTTGGAAATATGAATAAATAAATCATTGCCATTGTAACATCAAGAATTTTGGGCCTAGAAACTCAAGAATATGCCATAATTTAGTAAGCTACTTGGCCCGCTTTATCAGGAATCTCTAAAGTTCCTTAAAAAGATAGAATTACTCTCAAGGACCAAGTAATAATTTAAAACACTTTATGTGACAAAAACATAATATTTTCAGAGACTTCAAGAAAGTGTATTGTCCATAATTGAGGAATGAGCAAGTTAAAGTTCAAAAGAGTCCAAGATAGGCTAAAAGAAATAAATAAGGCCTAGGAGGATAAAAGAGGCATCTAAGATCAATCTTGAAAAATCATCAATGAAGTTGTTAGTAAAGTTATTTGATAAATTTATCCTTACATGTAACAGCTTAAAAAAATCATCTTATAGAATAAAAGATAAGAAAAAATGAGTGAGAGAGAGAGAGATACATTTAAAAATTGATTAGATATAAAAGAATATCACAAATTAGATAAAACGAACTATACAGCCAAAAAGAAAACCAAAACTAAAACCACTGGATGGATGTATGAAGATAAATTAAAGATAAAATAAATTAACAATAGATAACATATATCTTATTAATATATATATATATATTATCTAAATGTTTCAACTAGATATACACATATTATATAATATAATTTGAAAATAAAAAACCATTACTCTTTGTCAAAAAAAAATTTTAACCTTGAAGTTCTTAGAAAACCTAAAGCTATATATATTTTAACCTCCCACCTCCCATGAATAGTTTCCAAAAGCCGCCAAAGCCACATCCTTAAGTAGAAATCTCTTGGGCTATGATTTAAACAAGTAAGTGTCAAGCCATTTTGATGCAGGATTTTTTGAGGTCTGTTGATGTTTCATTAAAATATTTATAGTAAATGGATTCTTTTGACTTTGATAATTTCTATGCATAATCTAGACATCACTTTCTAGAAAGTTCAAAACCAAATTAGTTGGACTATATAGCTTAAGTTATTAATTTTCTAAGTGAAGAGTCAAAATCAGTCTTGGAAACAAAGCAACTTTAGGAAATGTATTTACTGTATCAGTTGGCTCAATTAAAGTCTTATTTCTTATTTTTCTCTTGTAGAGAACTTGTCAAGGTTTATAATAAGCTAAGAATCAGAACAAGAGCAATTTTGTATAATGAGTTATGAATTTTAAAATTTAAGGTATAGATTCAATCCAAGAAACAGAGTAAGTATAGAAAAGCAATAAACTGTACTTTTTGGCATGAGAAAAGGCCATAACTATTTTTGTTTCTAGTTAAGAACTTCAAGAGATTTTAATAGAATTTTACGTTATTATCATACGAATTCTCTAGATTTAATTATGATTTTTTAAAATAGTTTAAGGTCTAATTTTGCCCCTGTACTTAGGAGCATTAAGCACCATATACTTTTAAGTGGGGCAACTTTACCCCCAAACTATTTTTTTAGGAGAAAAAAACCTCCTTCATTAATAAACCATTAATTCTGCCGTTATATGCTGATGCGGCATATTCGTGGGGCTTAGGCACAGTAACAAGTCAAATTCTGGCTATGTTCTTTGGTGTTAATTTGCCCCTAAACTTTTTTTAGGAGTGTTGAGCACCATAAAGTATTTTTCTAGTAGTACCTCGTACCTTGAAGTCTTATTAAAATAAAATTTAATAAATATTGCCAAAATATTTTCATATTTAATAATTTAAATATTATTATTTATAAATATTCATTCAAAATTTATAAATTACTTTTTAAATATTAACAACTCAAACTAGCATTTTATATATTTATAAATGACTTCTTATTTTTTTATATA